TGACCGAGGCAAATATGGTTGATACAATGAGATGTAAGCTTGTAAGTGTGTAATTCCGTTTACGAAACCACCTCTCAGTTTAGGGTCAATAACCTTTAACCCCCAAAGGCCAGACTCAGGGCTGCGTAATGTGGTACGTTTGGTTTGGTTGACAAGCTTAAGCGAACATGTTGGCCAAGTGTAAGTGAAGTTGGCAGCACCACAGAACAGACGAGTTATTTTGTCTTGAATTGGATTTCGGCTCAACACCCTTTCTCTCCTTCAATCTACCAATCAGGCATGAGTAGTTGCTACTCACATTCAACGTATTTCATATGCTATTAATTTCAACAGCCTCTCGTAGCTTCCTTTAAGCAGCAGACGTACCATAATCAGCAAGGCTGCGAGGTTGACATCATTCTATCTCATGTACCGTCTCTGACCGTTGGACCCAGATCACTTCACAACCATTTAGGCCAGCAGGTCCCGCCGACATGAGACAAACCATTGTGTTGGAAGGAATTGGTGATGTCGTCTCACCGGAAACCGAAGGAGGATTGTCGTGTAGGGAAGTCTGTTGAATTGTGTGAAGAAATCTTCAGCTTCTCGTCCTGCCACCCTATTCAAAGTGGGCTTAGCCGTGCCAGACATAATCAGAGCAAGATTCCATACTTTACGAAATGGACTCTCCCTCCGAAATGAAGAGAGTCATGCCACGATATTCCATTAAGAAATTCTTTTATTCTTCATATAAGACAAACCATTATATAACTATCTATGCCCATACAGTTTCATTTTTTAACATATATAAAAAGTATCATAGAGCCAGAAAGTCTTTTTGGCTTTGTGTTTGTTAACGTGAGACTTTTACAAGAATTAGCTCCAGCTCTGATGATGTACAGCATATGCTGGATGGGTGCTAAGAATGGCGAGGCTCACTGACGCTGCCGACGAAACGTCCGGGAATGTACCACCTCCACGGTCCTACTCTGGAAATGATGATGCATACAATAGAGCCTCACTGGGTGCGTTCCTCTGCGTCTTCCTACCAACAAGACCAAGTTTCGAAAACAAGGTCAACCAACTTCAATAAATAATACTGTCGATCGCCATAGAAAATATAACCTAGCTTCATAGGCAGTCCCACAAAAGAGTGTGATGTGGAAAAGGTCCAGTCTGCTTTGAAATTCACATCTGCCCTGTGAGTCGAACGCAATAGGGCGTAGTGGTTAAGGTATCGAGATTAAACTCTACACAGCCATAGTTACAATCCCGCTCCGGCTGTTGCTAAGAGCGAAACTGCAGCCCACTTCAGCCCGAATGGGAATACCTTCTGGAAAAGCAAGGCTATGTGAAATTGAAAGGAAACGTCAGCTTTACTCATCTCATGTTGGGACAATTCTACACTTTGGACAAAATGGCGTCAATACACCTGATCTAGGGTGACGTAGTACTTCTGATATTCTCGAAGCCTACTTATATACAAAATAAGTAGCATCATGAATTGCAATAGCAAATAGGTCTTTGCTTCGTCTACACTCACAGCATACCAATTTGAGTTGAGACAGGCCTGGTTTGTCGTGAATGCCACTTCTGCCCTGTGACCCGCACACACCATCGGTTATGCAGTACTCTTCTCACGTCTCCACGACACTCACAAAACTGTATCAAATTTCGTTGGGATTGTTGATTCGACCTGGGCAATATCGAAACTGCGAGCTAGTCAGCTCTGAATGGGATGATAATTTGGGAGGCAAGTTGAAGCGAAATCCAATTGGGAATGATTAAATCACCTTAAGCGAACAATTATGAATAAGCTTCCATTAAAAAATTACTGCTAATCTCAGAGTCTTCTTACATCGAAAATACTCACAGTTTTACCTTTAAATCTGGATTTCTTTAACCATCTGTCCTATTTTTTATTTGATTAGTGTAGTCTTCTATACAGCCTGCAATGAGATAGGCCGAGATCTGCCGACGACATTCTTGTCTATCAAGAAATCCAAATCATAATTATTTAGTTGATACCTTGTGGTTTTGTCTACTAATTTTGACTTGCTAAATGCAATAAGCTCACATTTAAGGAATCATCCTCATTATGTTACGTAAATACGATATATTTCTTCGGTCAGAAATCATTTTTTGCAGTCGGAGCTTACATTCATTATGCACAAATACCGCTCTCTGGTATCTAAACGCAAGCACAAGCTGAGTGAGCAAGCTTTATAACTACCAGTGGAGGTTAAAAAAGAGCATTATTCCGCCCGGAAAGTCGTTTAGGGTTAAGAAAATATGTATAGCTGAGTTGAGTAAACCTTATGATATTGCCAAAGTTCATGTAGCCCTGTCTCCCAGAATGCTTTCTCATTAAGACCACAACCCAGTCTGGATGTGAAAGTACTCTCCAAGACAGAGCCTTGCGAGCTGCAATGGCATTGTGGGTGATGTACCAATAAGACGAGAATATTTTGTGCGTCTTGTTAACTTTTAAATGTAATTCTGTTAAGAGTAGATAAGAAGAGTAACTTGGTTTCGATTATTCTCTCCAAGATAACATTGTGGAAGGGACTTGAACTTGGCATGAAAGTGCCCGAAGACGAGATTCGTCAGTTGATCTCTCCAGCCGGTTGGCTTTAGTACAACGTTCCGGTTGGCGCAGTCCACGAGATCTCGTCCATCGTTTCCGGTGGAAACGAGTTGAGCTTTCGTCCATCATAGCTGGCACTAATTCTTGTAAAATTCTCAAGTTAAGCCTCGGCTAACGCCTAGTCATACAAATAAAATATCAGAAATAAAGGCCAAATGGTGATTGAGAAAAAGCATTTTCAATTCTTACTGCAAACTCTGCCGCATAAGGGACAAGTGTCGCTTCGAGATGTCGACCTCTTCGACGAATACTCCTTATCAGCTCCATAGACTCCGCCAGAAGGCTCTCACGATGCTCCAGAATCACGTGAATTCGTTGCAATTTAGTCATTCTCGCATATTTGCAGGCGTCCAGCTCCTCTTCATCTGCTTGTCCCATACTTATTTCAGCAGATTGCCCCTCATGCATTCGCCTTTCCTCATCATTACCCCAATTTCTCTGTAGCAACTTCATTTTGCTCAATTCTCCTTCTCCCGTTTCCTCGTCGCCGATCTGCTCTTCATCGGAGCATTCTCGTCGACCTTCACACTCTTCATCCATCCGCATAAAAAGTCTCTGAAGTGCCAACTAAATAATGATAATAAAATTAAATGGATAAATGTAAAGAGCTACATCAAAGTGACTGGATAAATTTTTTTATTACACGAGTTGTGTTGACTCTATTTCGTTTAAAGTAATAAACGACTGGAAGAGTTGAATTTTGGCAAAATGATATCAGTAGACCTCTATTAAATCTCACATAGCATCGCTTACCAAAATGTATTCTCATCTAGACTGGAGAAGACAGAAGTTTCAACTAGGCATACGTTACACCAGCACCTGCAGCGGGACTCGAACCATGACACTGCAGCGCATAATCTCGACATTGTAACCACCACGCCAGACTACCGCAAGTGCCCTTGCGAGGCACATATCACATTCCGTGGTGTGATTGCCGATAAAGCAAAGTTATATTTGCTATAGCAATATTTTTGATTTACTGGTAGTCCTGAAACTCTACTTATAAACGAAAGATAAGTAATACTGTCGATTGTTATGGCAAATAGAACTTTACTTCATCGACACTCCCATCAAAGAATGCGATATGGCAGAATGTCTGGACTTGCTCGAAATTCACATCTGCTCTGTGAGCCAAGGAGCCTCGTGGCCATGTGGTCTTTTGGCTAACGGATCGAGATTACACGCTGCACTCACATGCCTCGACTACCGCTTGGGGTGTTGATATGAACTTTGCGAGGTCGAAACTGTATTCTATTTCTGCCTGGATGAAAACACCTTTTGTGGAAACAAGGTCATGCAAAATTCAAGGGAAAACTTCAGCTATACTCACATGCTGGTGGGAAAATTCCCCTACCAGTCCTTCGTCAACTTAAACGAAATGACTGAATACATTTCATACAAAAGTGTGTACATTAAGTAATAAATCGTTTTTTCAAACATGTAAATGACCGCCTTCCCCTCCCCCCCCCATAAACACTCTTAACACATGTACTGTATGATGAATAAGCTTGCGTCTCCAACCTCGGCTGCAACACTCAAATGGATTTTGAGGGATTTAGAAATTATCATCCCCAATGGAAAACTAGCCCAACGCTTGTAATCCCTCAAATCTACGTCATCATATGGAACTTTTCCGTCAACTTATTAAAGCTGGTACTGGATTCGGCTCCGATCACTACCATCGCCTTCTCTTGACTTTTCATGTGCCTCGAGTTTCTGCGTTGCCACTCACTTGTTGACTGTTAGTCCTAATGGCGTTGTCGGTGATCTTGTTTTCTTGCATATTTATCGCATGTGAACCTACTTTTAGGCACTCTTTTGGTTCCTCAGTTCTTCATTCGACTGGCCTATTTCCCTCAAGTATTTGCTCCATTTTATCACTATAATGAGTTTTACTCATGTCCACTGTTGCTCC